TATTGCATCTGCATCAAAAACATCAACACCTGTCACGGGCTTTTGTCTTCGTTTTTTCTTAGGAGTGCGTAAAACATTATCTTCACTTCCAGAAGCACCAAATTTTCTTTATTTATATTATATAGTGTTTTTGCACCAATTCCAAGAGCTTGTGAAACCCGATCTTTCACTTGAGTGACAGGAATCAAAGGGCCGCCATTTTGTGACTCACGCTCAAGTTATCCTGTAGGTTTAATACAAGCTCACGACATTGACTATTCAATGTTTTTCCTCGTTTCGGCATTTTCAACAAAATTACCAAACACAAACAAAATTAGTCTAATAAAGCGCAACGATAAACAGGAGAAAGCCGAGTCAAAAAACAACGGTTACACAAGAGAACGTTGTCTGTGCGCACGAGAGTACGGAAGACGACTAAACAGATTAAAATAGCGGTGGTAAGGGTGTTGCCAGAATAGTATCGCCAATTACTTAAAAAAATACACCTATAACATTGCTTAATTGAGGGAGAAAATTATATTTATTAAATGTTGTTTTATATATTATGAATGTTAAAAATTATACATAATCATTTTAATTGTATTTATTTTTAAATCATAGAAAACAGTATTTCTGTCTTTGGATCACACATAAATCTTAAAAATCATAGAGATACTGGCAACACAGTGCAATTAGAAGACGCAAAAAAATGGTAGCATTATAGTCTAGTTGCTCGAAGGAATAAGTAAAATAAAAATATCCAAATAAAATAAATATCATATCTATTCCAATGAATTCGGACCGAATACTATCAAGCACATCACTATGAAAACTAGACGCACGATGTAACTTTGTACAAGCGCGCCAAAGAACAAAAAATAAATGTTTTCATATTATTTACAAACTATTTTAAGTTTTGAAACAGAGTTTATTGGAAAATTACTTGATTCTGACATTTTGACATAAAGTTTTATATTAAAGAGGTATTCTAAATCATTCGGCAAATGTGTCGCTCGTGCAAGGTTATGTCGATTAATTTAAGAATAATCTGTCAAATCGGTAATAACTCAGCGGCCGTACTATAACGTATACCATACACTCCATGGAGATTAGAGCAAAGAGTATAGTTACTGTCCTATACACCGTTTGTCGGTGCATACCACGGGCAGTAATCTTTATAGAAAAAATACCTCTTGGACATAGGAAACGTCATAGCAAAATGATATATGACAGCAAACCTCGGCCCTCGACATCCCTTCTAAGCACTAATCATGATAATTAAGTCCTTTTGGCCGCTTTAAGCCTATTATTAAATAGAAAACAATTGTTTTGACACCAATGAGCGTATAAAATCAATACCTATTCATATTAATATCTCTGTCGGTAACTACTATTGTATGAAATATGATTTTGTTATGTTCATCAGATTTATGAAATAGTTTGGAGATTATATTGTTACGCGCCACTATTAATGTCTTGTACATGGCAACACTAGTTACACTAGTGCCCCCTAGTGTCGAGTAAATGAAAGTATTGCGCGCCACTATTAATGTCTTGCACATGGCAACACTAGTTACACTAGCGCCCTCTAGTGTCGAGTAGCAGAACTAGGAGAGTCGAGATCCTTCCAGAAATTTCGGGACCGATATGTACTCGAACATTCTAGATGTCGCTACAGTAGAAGGTTCTGGAAACTATCTGAGGCCCTATATAAGGCCGATATAGACCACGACCGGGGCAGTATTGAATTGGCGATACAAGAGAATACTTCGAAGCGAAATAACGGCGAACTGTGTTTTATTATTAGTGTGATTTTAGATTGTAATTAGTGTTGTGTAATTAAAGTGTCAATTTTGGTAATTCAATCGGCAGTTTTTAATTGTCTCGAACCTCAAGCTCGTAACAATTGGTGTCAGAAGTGGGATCAAATATGCCGATTTTACCTAAAGATGACACGGAGGGTATCCGTACCCGAAGTCAACGCCAACAGGAGACGGACCAGAGACGATTTGGTAATGCAACGCCGCAAACGTCGGAGGGCCAGTTGCTAACCACGGAGGCTGGCCCGTCAGCAGCTCCTGCATCTGCAGCACCTGACTTAGGTGCTCTGATGATGATGCTGCAGGATCAGGCTCGCCGACAGGAGGAACAGGCCCGCCGACAGGAGGAACAGGCCCGCCGACAGGAGGAACAGGCCCGCCGACAGGAGGAACAGGCCCGCCGACAGGAGGAACAGACCCGTCGGCTGGAAGAGCAGCTGCAGCGCGGTATGGAAGAACAGATGCTCCTCAGGAAGGACCTTCACGCTACCTTCGGGAAAGAGATAAAGGAGGTGAAGGATAGGGTTGCTCAACATGACAACCGCCTGTCGGAAGCTGAAACCCGAATCGACCAAGTGAACAATCGGGTTGACAACGTGATGGCTGATGTGAAGAAAACGCTGGACGACCTCAAACTTGGGGATGGAATCACAGCTCCCGTGGTAGCTACAACACCTTCGCTACGTGGATTCAAAGTGCCGCCGTTCGACGGGAGTTCTTCCTGGTCGGCCTACAAAATCCAGTTCGAGGCTGTCATGAAAGCGAACGGCTGGAATAAAAGTCAGGCCATGACTGTTCTCACCCTAGGCCTGCGCGACCAGGCATTAACTGTTCTGGAAGCTCTCGGTAAGGAAGTGACTTACGAGCAGCTCCTTGAGGCATTGGAGGCGAGATATGGCGACGCTCACCTGGAACACGTCTTTCGTGCGCAGCTCAAAGATCGCGTGCAACGCAGTAACGAAAACCTGCAGCAGTGGGCCCTTGAGGTGGAGAAGCTGGTTCGAAAAGCGTACCAGTCTGTACCTGCGCTTATTGTAGGGAACCTGGTGCAGACATTCATCGACGGCATCCGCGACCTTGAAGTCAGAGCTGCTGTGAGGCTCGGGCACCACGAGACGCTTAAGGACGCCTTGACCAATGCACTGGAGGTGGAAGCCGTGCGGCAGGATCATCGTTCCCACCGCGTCAGGGAGGTTGCAGCAGCTAAAGTTCAGGACCGCAATAAAAGCTACAGCCCTAGGTGCTACGGCTGTGGAGAAAGGGGCCATCTTCGATCCAGCTGCCCTAAGCGAACTGTAAAAAGGGAAGGTGATCGATCTCGAGAGGGTAGTGCGGCTAATAGCACCGCCCAGCAGCAGCAGGGAAACTGGCGGGTGCTGGCTGATGTTAAAAGAGCCCCAAGGATTTCGATCTCACAAACTCATGATGGGAACAGCCTAATCATCAAGGGCGAAGTCAACGGAACGCCATGTAAACTGACCATAGACACTGGAGCCTCTCGCACGGTTGTCAGTTCCCAACTTATAAGTCGGTTCCTTGGTGACTCCGCATACAACCGAGAACGCATTAATTTGGTGACAGCCACCGGTCAGCGCATACCCGTCCGTGGAGAGAAGGAGATGGAGTTGAAGCTAGGCAACATGATCTACCTGCATAATGTCATCGTGGCTGATATAATGGACGACTGCATCCTGGGCCTAGACTTTATGAGGAAGAATTGTTGTGAGATCGACGTTAAGCAAGGTGTTTTGAAATGTGGACAAGAAGAACTTTTCATGGAAGGGGCGTTACCAGGGAATGTGTACAGCCTTAAGAAGATTGTTCTTCCGCCGAAATCGGAAACGATTGTGCCGGTTAGTCTTCCTCGGAGTCCTGGGCAAGCTCATCGTTGTGTACTCGTGGAAAGGGTAGACAATGACCTTCCATGGAAAGTGGCTCGAACCTTGGTCAGAACCACCGACATCTCAGGAGTACGTGTGTTGAACCTTTGTGATCAGGAACAGATTATAGAAAAAGGCACATTGGTTGGTACTAGTGAGGAAGTGGATTGGTTGCGTCGGTGCGAATATCTATCGACCGGGACCCCTAGCAAGGATGGACAAACGAGAGTGACCACACTTTTAGAAGACTGTCGCAGCGTTCTCTCCCCGAATGAAATGGTCAAGGCGAAGAAGTTGTTACTCAAGTACGCCAATGTTTTCTCGTCTAACGAAGCTGACATAGGAAAGACTGGCTTAGTTCAACACAAAATAAACACAGGACAAGAATTGCCTATTCGTCAGCGGCCAAGAAGATTGCCTGTAGCACGTGAAAAGGAAGTGGAAACCATGATTGAGGGAATGGTGAAGGATGGTGTTATTGAACCTTCATCTAGTCCATGGTGTTCACCTGTGGTGCTGGTAAAGAAGAAGGACGGCAGCATGCGGTTTTGTGTTGACTACCGCCGCCTGAACGACGTTACGAAGAAGGACAGCTATCCCTTGCCTAGAATTGATGACACGCTGGATATGCTCACAGGCGTAAAGTGGTTTAGTACGCTGGACCTGAAAAGTGGCTACTGGCAGGTTGAAATTGACCCTAAGGACAAGGAGAAAACTGCATTCTCTACAGGAAAGGGTCTGTGGCAATTTAAAGTCATGCCGTTTGGATTGTGCAATGCTCCAGCAACGTTTGAAAGGTTGATGGAGCTTGTACTTACCGGGCTAATTGGAGATGCCTGTCTCGTCTATTTGGATGACATCATCATCGTAGGCCGTACGTTTGAGGAGCACCTTCAAAACCTGGAACGCGTGCTCATGAAGATCCAGAGTGCCAACCTCAAGTTGAGTCCAAAGAAGTGCTCACTATTCAAACGGCAAGTTAGTTTTTTGGGGTATCTAGTGTCGGAAGAAGGTATCCGCACGGATCCAGAGAAAATTGCTGCTGTCAAGGAGTGGCCGGTCCCAAAAGACAAGACACAGGTTAGAGCATTTTTGGGTTTGTGCTCTTATTATCGGCGATTTGTGAAGAACTTTGCAGATATAGCCAAACCTCTGCACAAGCTAACCGAGGAGAAGCGACAATTCTGCTGGGATGAAAGTTGCGATATTGCATTCCAGGAGCTCAAGAACCGCCTGTGCAAAACACCTATTTTGGGGTACAAGTATTTGGGGTCAAGGAAGGAATTTTGAGTCTCAAATATTCCAGGAAACTTGCCGAGTTATGGGTACTCAGAAAACACGAACAACTTCTAACCACCCACAATCTGATGGAATGGTAGAAAGATTTAATCAGACTTTGGAGAGGTACCTAGCAAAAGTTGTGGAAAAACGGCAACGAGACTGGGACAGGCACATACAACCGTTTTTGTTGTCATATCGAAGCGCTGTTCACGAAAGTACATCAGTGACACCAGCTTTCGCAAACTTTGGGAGAGAATTGCGGCTGCCTGCAGACCTGATCACCGGAATACCACCTGATGCCCCACGCAGTATAACCGATTATGCAAATGACTTGCGGAACAAAATGAATGACATTTATGAGCACGTCAGACAGACGGGCCGGCAAACGTCTGAGAAGATGAAAACACGGTATGACCGCAAAATGAACAACAAGGGCTTTGATGAAGGTTCACTAGTGTGGTTACATAATCCAGTTCGCAGCAAAGGGAAATCTCCTAAGCTTCAAGCTAAATGGGACGGACCGTACCGGATTGTGACAAGGATCAATGACGTAACCTACCGGATACAGAAAGGTGCCAGAGGTACTCCTAAGATTGTCCATGTGGATCGACTGACGCGTTATTATGGGGCCAATAATGCTCGGGACGAGCATGTCTTAGGAGGGGGCAGTGTTACGCGCCACTATTAATGTCTTGTACATGGCAACACTAGTTACACTAGCGCCCCCTAGTGTCGAGTAAATGAAAGTATTGCGCGCCACTATTAATGTCTTGCACATGGCAACACTAGTTACACTAGCCCCCTCTAGTGTCGAGTAGCAGAACTAGGAGAGTCGAGATCCTTCCAGAAATTTCGGGACCGATATGTACTCGAACATTCTAGATGTCGCTACAGTAGAAGGTTCTGGAAACTATCTGAGGCCCTATATAAGGCCGATATAGACCACGACCGGGGCAGTATTGAATTGGCGATACAAGAGAATACTTCGAAGCGAAATAACGGCGAACTGTGTTTTATTATTAGTGTGATTTTAGATTGTAATTAGTGTTGTGTAATTAAAGTGTCAATTTTGGTAATTCAATCGGCAGTTTTTAATTGTCTCGAACCTCAAGCTCGTAACAATATGATTATACAAAGTGACGATGAAGTTATCACGTTAAATGAAAAGACGTATTCTATACAAAGTTCTTTAAACATACACAACTAAAAAAATATATAACAATTAACATTCTGGGCGCGGTAGCCTTTTTTTTGTTTTAATATTAAACAACATCATGTAAATGCATCAGATATCACCTGATAAATACTAGATTCAAAGACCCATGGCCCGTGAAGGCCAAGAGACCTATATTGTATTATTGTGCAACGTTGCCAATTTTAAATAATCAAATAAAGTAATAAATTAAGCAAAAAATGTACTTATATGTAACAAAATAAGGCATAATTCTTATGCGCGATGCGACAAGAATTGGGACGGGGTGTTGGGAGGGTGGGATGTGGTCGATTGGCGCGTGCGACGATAAAGTAAGACAGTAAGTCACTTAGTCCGACGCCGGCGTCCTTGGGAACGGTTCATTAATCGCTTGACCTAATTTTAGTTTTTCGCGTACACGTCCTTTTAATTTAAAGTTTTTTTTTGTGGATATTTTCATAAGTTTCTTGATTTGTTTGTGATAGGACACGTTAATACTATAATAATAATTGTGTTGAGGAGGTGGTGTGACTATTTGTGCGAAATTTGACGCTTTCTTTTACTGTCTTGTATTTTTTATTTGTGATAGGACTCGTTAATAATAGATAAGTGATATTTAATAACTTAGTGGTGTGTCAGCCCGTGCGCAATTGGACGCTTTTATTTTTTTAAACGTATAACTTTTTTTATTTTAAAATGCCTCGTATCAATTTTACGTCATTGGAATACACCGATATGGTTTTAATTTATGGAGAATGCCACCAAAACACGTCCCTGGCATTACGAACATACCGAGAGAGGTATAATACCACATGTGTATGTCCTACAGACTCACGGATTTTTATACGGGCAGTCCAAAGATTACGTGACGGCGAAAATTTGATTCCACGTCAGGTTGAAATTCCTCCGCGAGTCGCCGTGGCTCAGGAAGAACGAATATTAAATTATTTCGCTCGTAATCCAACATCAAGTCTCCGTAGATCAGCTCGCCAATTCTGTGTACACCACAAGTCTGTTCACAGAATATTAAAAAAAAACAAGCAACGGCCGTTCAAATACGTAAAGGTACAGGCTTTATTAGATAGAGATAAGCCAGTTAGGGAAGCCTACTGTGAATGGCTCCTGAGCAAAGTAGCTAATGACTCTAACTTTTTAGCAAACGTAATGTGGACTGACGAGAGCACATTCACGCGTAACGGAATATGGAATCGGCAGAACTTACGATACTGGAGTCAAGAAAATCCGCAACTGTGTCGAGAGTCTATGCACCAATATAGATTTGCCGTTAATGTTTGGGCTGGAATACACGGAGATCAAATAATTGGTCCCGTGTTTATCGAAGGCAACCTTAATGGGCCTAAATTTTTGGAACTGCTTGACGACACAGTGGCGGATTACGTTGATGGACTATCGTTGGGGGCCAATAGCCGGTTATGGTACCAGCTTGATGGAGCACCTGCTCATTCAGTGGTGGCTGCCAGGCAGCGCTTCACTGAGATGTTCGGAGAGAACTGGATTGGCAGATACGGACCTTCTCGGTGGCCAGCACGGTCTCCGGATTTAACACCGTTAGATTTCTTTTTATGGGGTTACATAAAAAAATGAGGTGTACTCTACTGAAGTAACGACTGTCGAGGACTTAAAAATAAGAATAATGCGGGCTTTCGACAAAAAAAAAAATTTGCAGCCAATGGTGCCCTCTTTCGAAAAGTCCGAAATAATATCATGCGACGGTGTCAATTATGCATTCGGGTACACGGCGGACATTTTGAAAATTTAAAAATTTGATTTGTTTCATAAACTTGAGTGATTTCAAGGTTAAAGTGATTATTTGGATAAAAAAATACCATGAAATTTGTGATTTGTTGATAACATCGGATTAGCATCGCCCTACGCGTGCCTAATTACCTATGTATGGGCAAGTCCTAGGACCTAGGTATTATAATATAATTACCTATATCGATGTCGCATGAGCAATGAACCGCTGGCCGCGACGTTGCCGCTTCTACAAGTCATTTCAGGTCAGTTAAGTAATATTATCAAGGATGATTTATTTTATGTGATTTTTTACCCTATTTATTTTGTTTGAAAGATGCATTTTTTATTAGTTTTTATTATTGTTTATTTTATTATTTTAACAGACATATATCAACTTGTATTAACTGTTGTGCTATTTAACGTGATAACCTGGGCGCCACCCAGTATAAGGATTACAGAGTAGATCTACTCTATACTCCATGGGTCCAATGCAAGCCGTCGCAGCCATATTGTTTATTTCGTCCATAATCATTGTGTCACTGAGTGATATTATTACTGATTTACTGATAAGTTTCCGTTTAGTAACTAAACGTAAAAAGTAAAAACTAAACTTTAGTTGCGTTGATTTCTCCGTTACCAGATTGGGGTTTTTTTCGCAATTCTGGGGAATAAAATGACTCTTGGGGAATAACTGGGGAAATAGAATCTTTGGGGAAACTTTTGGGGGGAAATACATAATGGGAAATTTTGAGGGATTAAAACAGTAAAATATAAAATGTGCCATGAAACGAACGTACTTTTTGTTCAGCTAACATATCAGTACTCAGTGTCTTATTCGGCTCTGTGAAGAAATCCAAATGCGATTACCGAACAATATTAAATTATTATAAAAAAATTCAATTTTCTCGTCCCAAATCGCGCCAACACAAGCCAAGTAAGACCTAATATTGAAGAAATAGTTGTTGCTTCAAGGATGTGGTTGGAGGAGTGGAAACCGTTGATGCGACGCTGCAAGAGTGGAGAATTCTACCTCTTCAGCATTGGAAAAAAACCAAAACAGCTGACAAGTTTTGGGGAGAAGTGTTGTCATACAAAAATGCTTATGGCGGCGCAGCTTTCTTTAATTTAATGAAACTTGCCACGGCTATTTTGAGTTTGCCATTTGCTAATGTTGCTGTAGAACGGACGTTTTCGATGATGAACATCGTCAAAAATAAATTGCGAAACAGAATGCTCACGAAAACCGCAGACCATATCATGAGAGTGAGAAGTGCCTTACAAGACCGCGGCGGGCGCACAAAGTTTGAGCCAAGCACTATAATGTTAACTTTATTTAAGTGTGAAAATTTCTATCAAACAGGAGATGAAGAGAATGTGAATGAAGTACTTGCTAATTTTAATGAAGATTAATTAAGCGGGATTTAGAAAGGGAATGGGACGTACGGATCAGGTCTTCTCTCGTTCCATGCGCATGATCGCGGAGAAGTTTTTGGCCAAAAACCAAAAAGTTTTTTGTGCGTTCATGGACTTGGAGAAGGCTTATGGCAGAGTGGACAGGGATGTGTTATGGCAAACACTGAACTCATTTGGGTTGACCGCTGGTCTGATACAGGCATTGAAGTCTCTATATAGGGACTCTAGTGCTTGTGTCAGGTTCAACGGGGCCTACACGGACTGGTTTGGCATCCATAAAGGTGTCAGACAGGGCTGTGTGGCTTCTCCGTGGTTGTTCAACCTATTTATGGACAGTTGTTTGGAAAATTTGAAAGTAGAAGAATGCGGATTAAGAATGGGTGTTATAATTGTGTTAAAAATGGTTAACCGTCAAATGCCTTTTGTACGCCGATGATCAAGTCATACTTGCGTCGTCGGCAGCCGAGTTGCAAATGATGGTTACATTAATGAACAGGACATTAAAAGAAAAGGGAATGAAAGTGAACGCAAGTAAGACGAAAGTTATGGTTTTTGAAAGAGGAGAAAGTAAAACGATATGTGAAATAAGAATAGAAGGGGAGTTGGTAGAGCAAGTAGATGAGTTTGTATTTTGGGATGTGTGTTTAGCAGGGATGGTAGATATGATAAGGATATAGAACGACGAGTAAATGCAGGAAATAGAGTGAATGGGGCTCTACACTCTATTGTGAAAAGTCAGAATGTATCCAAGAAGGCACGTATGGCAATTCACAATGCTGTGTTAGTGCCTACTTTAATGTATGGTAGTGAAAGTTGGGTGTGGCAGAAGAAGCACGAGAGTATAATAAATGCTGTAGAAATGCGGTCATTAAGGAGTATGTTAGGGATAAATCTGAATGACAGAGTGAGAAATTGTTTAATAAGAGAAGAGTGTGGTTTGCAAGATGATGTTGTGACCATGATTAAGAAAGGAATGCTTCGGTGGTTTGGCCATGTAGAAAGAATGAATGAGGAAAGAGTGACAAAGCAAATTTATGTTGCAGAGGTGAACGGCATAGTCGGGAAGGGTCGCCCTAGGCGAAAGTTTATCGACCAAATTGGCGATATATTAAAAATGGGCCAAATCAAGAGTACCTTTAACCGACGAGCGTGTATGCGTAGGTATATGGATGTGGAGGAAGCGAGAGAGGTGTGTCAGGATCGTGCCAAATGGAAGTCCATAATCTCTGCCTAACCCTCTGGGTTACAGGCGTGAGTGTTTATGTTTTATGAATGTATTAATTAAAAAAAATTGACAACTACGTACTTCATTCAAATTTTCTTTCTTCATTAACAAATAAAATAAAAGCGGTCTGTTTTATTTTAATATTTGTTTTTTTATTGATAACAAAACTGGTGGTTTTCTGGTTCAAACTTATCATTTTGGGGAAAAATAAAAATCAATTTGGGGGAAACTTTGGGTGAAAATTTCATCTGGCAACCCTGGTTGATTTATTTCCGCTATCTCTTTGCAATTACTTGTATCAACAATTGCCTTTTACTTTTACTTTAGTAAAGGATCAACAACCACTATTGAAGTGAAAAATACTTTAAAAGAAATTGTTCCGGCTGTTGGTGAGATAGGATAACATTAGTCTCAGATCAAGGGGTTACTTTCAGATCTGCTCTTTAACTACTGCAAGAGGAAACTAGAGCAGTCCAAATAAAAAAAAATCCAGGTACAATCAATCAAAACTTCACCGTTCACGTTTACTCTTAATAGAATTGTTTTTTTATTAATATGTTTTATATTTTTAGATGACCTGATACATATAAGTGGTTATAATATGCTTGTCATATTTGATGCACCACATTTAATCAAAGGAATGCGAAACAATTTTTAACAAAAAAATATATTACCAGGAAATTTTTTATTATTTTTTATTATTTTCATTACCAGGAAAATATTTATACATGGACATATATTGTAGATGCGTATAACACAGACTGTGAACATACAGAAACACGGTTATTACAAACTTAATGACGAATATGTTATTCCTGATAATAAAAAATGAAGATAATAGAAAATAATTGTAATTTTATTTCAATTACATGTAATTTATCCATTATCTTCCCGTGGGTGTCGTAAAAGGCGACAAAGGGAAACAGGCTGGAGATGGGCAGCAGCATCTTCGTGGTAACAGCAAAAATACAATAAAAAAAATGTGTGTTTACCAACCCGCTCGCCAAGCGTGGCAACTATGGCAAATATGATGAGAGTAACAAAGAGACGGCCCCCAGTCCCCGGCGGCCCCGCTATTCCTGGCTACAGTGGCGACCATGGTAACGGCGGGGCTGCGGGTGCTAAGAATCTCCGGTGGAGGTACAGTTGCCACCTAAGACCATTCGACCTGGCAACATACAACGCCCGCACCCTAAGGACTGACGAGAAGATCGTGGAGCTGGAAGAAGAGATAGAGAAGTTACGCTAGCATATTATAGGATTATCCGATGTCCAAACAGAGGGGGAGGACACGCTAATTCTCGAATCCGGCAACTAGCTCTATCACCGGGAGGGCGACCATCTGTCCCAAGGAGGTGTCGGATTTATCGTTCACAAGTCTCTCGTTAACAACGTTGTAAAGATTGAGTGTGTCGACGAGGGTTGCGTACCTTATACTCAGAATCACCAAACGGTATTCGCTGAAGGTCATACAGGTTTACGTACCAATCTCGACACACCCCGATGAGGAGGTGGAGGAAATGTATGAGGATATCTATAGAGCCATGCATTCTTCCAAAACCCACTATACGGTTTTAATGGGAGGCTTCAATGCAAAACTAGGCACAAGAGAGAACGGTGAGCTGAAAGTAGGGAAATTTGGAATAAGGCAACGGAACCCAAGGGGCCAGCGGAAGGCCGACTTCATGGAGAAAGAGGGACTCTTTATGATGAACTCTTTCTTCCAGAAGCGGCCCCACAGGAAGTGGACCTGGTCGAGCTCCGACGGTTCGACAAAAAATGAGATTGACTTCATTATGACGACCAGACGACAACTGTTCAGTGATGTCTCCGTGATTGCGAGGGTGAAAACTGGTAGCGATCACCGAATGGTTAGAGGCACACTGAACCTAAACGTTAAGTTTGAGAGGTCTCGTCTAATGAAGTCAACGCTCCGTCCCTCTCGTGCTCTGTCCCGAAACCTTTCAGCTCCAGTTACAAAACCGTTTTCAGTACCTAGAAGACTGCAATGAAGTGGACGATATGAATGAAAAGCTCGTGGAAACTGTCCATGTGGTCGGAGCTAAGTTCTGCAAGACCCGCCGCAGAAGAACACAAAAACTCTCCGATGACACTCTTAATCTCATGGTTGTTAGACGGGAGATGAAGCTATATTCTTCAACAGATTTCACAGCATACAGGCAACTGAACAGACAGATCTCCAAATGCA